AATTATCTTTAAAAAAAAAAAAAAAAGAACAGGACTGCAATAAGGGTTTTATTTATAACAATATTTGAAGACTTCATTATAAACGTTCAATGTAAAAATATAGAACATCATACAAGTGCCTTTAAATTTTTTCCTTCAAGACAAACAGGTAATGGCTGGACCTGCAAAGTCATCTGAAAAGTAACAATTTAGTCCTGGAAAATCCTGATAAATTTGCATATCAGCCATATTTATTAACATCTGTTTCCTTTTAAGGGCTATTGTATCTATAGTAAAGATTGTGAAATATAACGAAAATATATATATATATATATAACATGTGGACCTGTGTCTTTATTCAATTTTACCTACTATGTAATTATGTATGTTACATAGTTGTTACGGTTGAATAAAGATTTAGGTCCATCCAGAGAAGTTTCTTTTTTCAGTGAAGTGTCCTCTAAAGATCTAGCCATGTGCAGGAGAAATTCCTATTTTGTAGCTCCCTTCCACACAGCTTGAAATGACCACAAGTTTACTTTAATTCACTTTAGTAAATCACTCCATCTCCCATCCCTCCCAAGGCAGTAAGAGTTTCACATACATAATTGTGGACGTCATACGACGCGAGTTCTATTTAGGTTTAGTGGTCCTCCAATATTGTCACGTAATTGCCTCAATAAAACTAAACAGCAAGGATGTCAAATGAGCAAAAAGAAAAACCAAACCATCCACATAATTCCAGATCTTCAAAGATTCAAAGACAAAACAATAAATATTCTGGAAAAGTTTTCTGTTTAGAAAAATAATTACATTTACTTTACATTTAAATCCGCGCTAACACATTATAGAAGACATTATTGCAATATATACCACCATGAAATTAAGAGAAAAACGTAAGGTATATTTACAAGTTACTAATTTACTGTCATAAAACACAAAATGCCCGCGGGACCAATCGCATATTTGATGTTTTTTTGGCTGCAAGGTGTGTATAGCAAGGTCGCACATGAGTCGTACGACTCACCCACGTTGCGCGATCTTGATTTACACTTTATACTGAGACAATAAAAAGACGTGAAATTACGTCACTGCTTGTACAAGGCCACATTCACTAAGGTTGAAAGGCACCAAAATATACAGAAAGAGGAAAGCATGCAAATAAGAATTCCCCGAGATTATAGGCTTAATATCCTGACTTGTGATGTGAAATATTGTACTGCTGGTTACCGCCAAGTAAAGGTTTCCTGAGATAGAATAACGTTTACAATTCAACACTTGTAATCAATACAGTACAATCATTTAAAAAAAAAATGGACTCTTGATCAGATTGCCCTTGCAAGTTAGCGTGATAATAAACCAAACTCAGGATCTTGGGACTGAAATTAAAAAACACTGTGTAAACTTATGAAAGAAATGTTTAGGTCATCATCATCATTATCATCATCATCAACCTCACGCGAGAAGATCGCAGACATTTGTACTGATTGTGTCATCTGAATCTGAATGTTCTTGAAGTGCTTCGAGGAAGGATCAAGAGATGTTGTCCTTTAGTTTAGATACAATTTTCTTGTCCTTTACTCTCCTGTTCTGAAACCATATGGTGACCTGTCTCTCTGAAAGGTTGGTGTTTGCAGATATCCTCCTTCTCTTGTCCTTATTAATGAACTTGTTAAGGCCATATTCGTTCTCTAGCTCCTTGAGCTGCAGCTTGGTGTAGGGCACTCTCTTCTTCCTCCCACGTCTGTACACACACATATCTGGCTGGTTCAGTGGTACGTCCCCTACAGTGAAGAAGAAAAAAAACAGGACGATGGATTAAACAAAAAAACCTTTGCAGCAGTCTTCTCTGCTGAAACCAAGAATGCCATTGAGAGGTTTTAACCATTTGACAACCACTCAATGACAGATATCAAAGTAAAATCAAGCAGATTATTCTACACCGAATGTGACCATGCTTTCTGGGGCTTATTTACTACACAATACATTTTTACATTTGTCTGAGTGCAATTTAAATAGCAGTCCTGCTAGGGGGGTTAACATTTCACGTTTCCCCTTAATCTGATGAAGTACTTGAAACCAACACAAGCAAGTGTAAAATTCTGTTTTAGTAAATCAGTCCATATATGTGTATTTGGTGTAAGCTCAGTCAGCAGGGTAAACTGCATATGAGGAAAGTAGCTTAATAACCAACTGCAACATTTATCAAGATGAAACAGTCCTGACAAGCAAGTCTCAATGGCTGAGCACTTTGCTGGAGTAGACACTGATGCCTAACACTACAATGTGAAAGTGGTAGGTGTGTTTGCCCAGTGCTCTTACAGGGCTCTCCATACACTACATACATTTTCAGAGAGAATTACATACACACTAGGGTTGATTTACTAAAGGAGTAGAAGCTGCTAACTGTACAAACTGTATTCACATCGCAACGTGAATGTTGGAGAATAAGGTGAGGTGTTCACTTGGCATATCCCTGTTCTTTTATTTCCCTTGCACATGACTAGATGTTCACACTCAACAAATCTTCAAATTATTTACTTTCCGAAGTGAACATTCGCTTTGTCAGCTGAACAGCCTTTGCCACTTTAGCAACATCACCCCAATAGCTGTTCATATGTTTGCAAAGACGGTGAATCTCCTACCTGCAAATGACGACTTCCAGAAGTGAGGGGCTTGAGGCTGGTCTTTTGCACAGTAAACTTGACTGTTCCACCCATTAGCCAGAGTCCATGACTGGTAGCCTTCCATTGATATATAGGCCTCATGTCTGGGTTCCGCAGAGCTAAATGTTGACACCATATCTAGGTAACCAGGGACATGTTGGTAAGGGTTAGGGTAGCCCTGAAAATAAGAGACTTCCTTGGCTCTTGAAGACACATCACTGCTGGGGACACTGGTGCTAGCCAGGCTAGATACGTCCATGTATTTTTCCACCGGAAAGCCGCTTATGGAGGAATGGCTGGAGGACTTCAGTGGGCTCTGCTGCAGACCCACACCATGAGACATGCGGCAACTATAATATCCGTTTCCAAAGTGATAACCATATCCAAGAGGGGCTGCAGGGGGCCCCGAGGACGCTGGGCATGTTGGACCCTCTTTGGTGGCCTCCGACCGTGTGGAAGTGGACCTCTCTGGGCCAGGGTAGGCTAATCCCGAGACCGTTCTGCTGGAGGGAGTGCCGAACACAGCGGGAGAAGAGAGGAAATTCCTGCACTGGTTACTGGAAGACCCCTCTCCCCCTCTCAAACCTTCCATTTCCCACTGATTGCGTTTGCTCAGAGCTTTGCACATCACGCTTTCAATCCAGTTCGGGGCATAGTGAAATTGTTATCCCTTCAAGCAGGTTAGATCATTGTGGTACGTTTATAAAAACTAACTTCAGATTGGGAGGGGTGCGGGAGTCATTTTACAGATCTGTTTGCAGTAGCCATGAGGCTCGGCATTGGTGCGTTCCACTCACGTGACCTCTGAGCGGAATTAAACCCAGCAGCAATCAACTCAGTTGACTGCTTTCTAAGGTGTTCGGGATTTCTTTCCAATATTCGTTTCTTCGTTTCATTTTCCCTATTTTAGTCTGATATCAATTTTCCTTTGCAATGCTGAAGAACAGAAAGACTCAATCAATGCACCTGGAAGACACTTCTCTAAGTTTACCTTCAGCTCCAGTTGAATAGCAGATCATCATAATTATCAATCTATTTGTTAACAAGATGTTCCATATAGACAGTTCAAGAAAATCCTAAAGTACTGGAAATTAATATGAAATGAGGTACAGGTCGTGACAAAAAAGAGAGTCCTTTCTCAAATATAATAATTCTTAAAACAATTAAAAATTAAATCTGAATTTAGTGCAAACACAATCTACCTGCTAATGCAATTGTATGGCGACCTTGTCACAGCCGGGGAGTACTATGCTGATGGCAGGTAACATGTAATAATAAGTAACAGCTCACGACTGCTAGCCCGTTATTATATTTTTTGATCTATTTAGTTGAAAGTCTAAATAACATCGAGCATTACATTACTACGAGTAGACAGGTCTGTGTGTATATATCATTATGTGAAAAGGTTCTGTTGTGCAACTTTTGCCTTTCTGCTATGGTCTTCCATGGCCAGACTGAGAGCTTTAATGAAACTTTCAGATTTATTAAGTGAGAAGTTACATCCAATCAGCACTGCCTCGTTATGTTTCTTAGAGCTGATACATATTTCATAATATTCCCTTGTGCTAAGAAAATGCTATCGATTCTCTTACGAACTGCAGCAATATCCTGTTCCTGGAAAAAATAAACTTTTTTTATCAAGTACTAATATTTATTTATTTATAAATGTAGCAGATGTCACGATATCCACAACAAATGAAGCATCCCAAGTGTGTGTTGGAGATTATGAAGAGTGTTATGAAAGTTCACTGACACATCAACAGTTACACTTTCCAACACCAGTCAAAACAGACTGATACTAATTGGAAACTAAAGCAGAAGTCGTCCTCTGTTCAGTAAAGAAGAACAAATTAATAAATCCAGGAGGACAGATTAATATACATACAAGACACACGTGTTTAGATATGCCAGTAT